TTTGCAGGTACTTACACCTTGGCTACACTTCATTGTCTTGGGGAAGGGTTAAGTTTTGGTCTTCTTCTTGGTGATGGGATTTCTTAGAATCACCCCTGCCATGTTACGGCTGCAAAGGGCCTTGGTTCTAAGCCCACGCGCTGACGGACTGAGCCTTGAAACCCGAGCTCGGCCAGCCAGGACGCGCAGCCCTGAATTGGAAGCACCTCCGCATGCTCGAGACCTGCCATTCTTGAGACCAAGCGCCAAAGCCAAAAGGCTGAACCCAGAGTTGGACCAACCTGTTTTGCCGAAATTCCGCAACAACCGTGAAAATCGTAGCAGTTATTGATCTAGTCTTTTACTACCGAAACATCATGATCTCAATATTCAAAGCTGCCACGTGCCTGAGGAACTGTGCGGCGGAGTGGGTGTGATTGGCATTAGCATTGCGGACGCGGCGTCAGACATGGAGGTTTCACTGGGTATTGCCTGGTGCTTGCGACTGAAGTCATAGAAGAGTTAAGGGATTAGGGGAGTTCAGGTTAGAGGCCCCATCTACGAGAACCTAAAGACCAAAACCCTTTCCTAAATGCTTGAAAAGCCCCGCCCTTCAGCACCTCTGCAGCGGCCCCGGGTCTTGGAGAAGTTAGGGTTTAGGGTTTAGGGTGTAGGGTTTAGGGTTTAGGGTTTGCCCCAAAAATCTTCTTACGCAAGCTCTCGCATTTGACCAAAACACTGTTGGCATTGAGCAACTGCGGTGTTTGATCTCACCCCCCCCCCCCCCCACCCCCCAACATCCCCTCGCTCTCTCACAAAAAAAAGCTGCGCAAGGAAAAACGGAAAGGATGCTTCACTGTAGTGTTTCGAGGGCGCTGGGTGGATATTAGGGCGCAGTTTCATTGCTCCACAGCTGGCTGCGTCAGATTCGGAGGACCCTGAGCCCGGGTTTAGGGTTTAGGGTTTCGGGTTTAGGGTTTAGGGTTTGGGGTTTAGGGTTTAGGGGAAGGGTCATGGGTAGTTGGAGTTATAGGTACGGTTAGAAGTATGGTAGGCTGCACTGTAACCACAATTCAGGTACTTATATCCCTACTTAGAACTAGCAACGGGCCTTCAAGCACACCACCTCATCGACCCTAAACCCTAAACCCTAAACCCTGAACAGGAGGTCGGCCGGGTGAACCCTAAACCCTAAACCCTGAACAGGAGGTCGGCCGGGTGACCTTGCTCAGCACAGATGTCAACCCCAACTGAACCTCGGCAGCCTGGGCTGTGTATTGGTGTAGAGTTCCTTGGTCTAGTCGACCTTTAGGGTTTAGGGTTTAGGGTTTGGGGTTTAGGGTGACGGAAACTCAGCTGCCTTAATGATAACTGACATGTTTCGTTGGTATGGGCATAGGGTTCTTGAACCCACGGTTCGAAGCGGGGTTTTCGAATTGCCTTGGAGATGCTGGTTCACGTCGCGTTTGGTGGCCGGACTTGCGTCACCCAGATCTGCCGTTTAGGGTTTAGGGTTTAGGGTTTAGGGTTTAGGGTTTTTAGTCCGAGGCCCCCTATAATAAAGACACCTGAAGTGGCTAAAGGAGGATGGGGAATGGGGGGAGGGGAAGCTTATTCTCTGCAACCCTTTCGGGGAACTCAGCCAGTAAGGCATGTTGTCCTCCTGGTTCGGGGTACAGCACCTTTTTGTTCAGGTGTTCCCCTAAACCCTAAACCCTAAACCCTAAATCCTAAATCCTAAATACCCTAAACCCTGAATACCCTAAACCCTAAACCTGAAACGACCCTTTGCAAACTGCGTTTCTGCAGGCGCCACGGCTTTCCGTGCCAACGCCGAGCGGAACTTTGGTCGAGAGGCCGGTTTAGGGTTTAGGGTTTCGTCGGGTTTCGGGTTTAGGGTTTAGGGGGCTGATTCGGAACAGACCTCCCACAAAGTCCCTGATTTGCTATAGCTGCTATAAGTCCAAGTTCCTTCAATCCTCAAAGCATAGCAGGGAAACCCTAAACCCAGACCCCAACTCCCAAAAGTCGCATTGGACATCCCAAGATCACCCAAGAGACAGCGAGGTTTACGGCATGCATCTATGTTCGTCCATGCATGGCTCGATCCTCAACCCCCCCAAATCCCCAACCTGTGCCCAAACCACCAGGGCCGGGAGGACATTTCCCTGGAGTTCGCCGCCGTGAGCGCTTCGGAGGTTCGGGGTTTAGGGTTTAGGGTGTAGTCATCGGAGCGCCGGAGTATACAGATGTGCCCACCCCAAGACCGCCCAAACACTACTCAAAACGAAGCCAACCGGAGCCAGCCGAAGCCAAACCAGATTTGGCATACCTCCCCCAGAAGACACTATGCTTCGGGCTTGTAACATGCACCCTCGGAGCTTGATTGAAATGATGAAGACGTTTTGAAGGACAGTAGCAGCTTCCGGGAGAAAACGTGGGTTTTTTCGCGGGGGGACGTCTTCGGCCTGAGGGGACTCTGAATGGTGGGTGAAGACTTTGTTGGCACTAGCGTGCCAAGCAGAAGCAGGGCCTCGCAGGGGGCCTCAAGGGGCCTGCCGAAGGCTTTTGAAGGGGTTTCGCAGGTGCAGGCACTCCCGCACAAGCCCTGCGTGGAGCATTCGACTGCGCCCACCTACCCCAATAGAGGTGCGACGAGTGGCGGAATCAGGGCTTCGGGTCTACGGCAGGGTTTGGAGTTGTTTTGCCTCAACCAACCTCAAGACCTTCACCTGCTCGGCCCAAAGGCCCCTTTAAGATACTGTACCCCAGATATGCCCCAATGAGGTACCCTCAAGCCTTCTTGCAGGTAACCCCTCAACTGGGTGTGATGGTTTTGGGCTTCAGGAATTTGATGCTTCCTGAGTGCTATCTTGCTCGGTGAAGCTGCTTGCAGGGTTACAAGCCAAAGTCTGTGGATAGTCATAAGTCCGGTGTGGTGGCTTCGGAACTGAAGACTGTCTTCAGGATGGACTTGGCAGATGCGTATAACCATCTCAAGCCTGATACAGAAGTCCCTAGATACATCTTCCCCCTCCACACATCCCAAATGTATCGAAGCCACCGATGATGAGAAGGCGCTCGCATCACTCGCTGGCCCCAGGAGTGGCACAGACGTCTCAGGGCAGCATTGGCAAGGGGGAATAGGGGCATTTCCGAAAACACTTACTTAGTCAAGGGTTGAACTTTAAACTTTTTGGGGTTTCCATGTGTAGTAGGAATAATGAAGCTAAACCTTTTCTTATTCCTTGGGCATTGAAGAAGGAAGAATAGGGGACCGGACCCTTCTCATATACCCCCAGAATATCACAATCCTTCATGTAGGAACCCCCCAAAAAGGTACAGTACCCCATGTATGGAAACCTCTAGGCGGCTCACGAAAGTCAACCCTAAACCCTAAACCCTAGCATTCTCAGGTGCTGATCCTCGACCCGCCACGGCGCGGACTGGCCAATCGGCGCTGGGCCCAGGGTCTCGTGGGCGGCGAGGCCCGCGCGTTGGGGTTTTTTGGTGTTTCGCTGAGTGTTTTTGTAGGAGAGGTTTAGGGTTTAGGGTTTAGGGTTTAGGGTTTAGGGTTTAGGGTTTAGGGTTTAGGGTTTAGGGTTTAGGGTTTAGGGTGGGGTGTCGGGGAGTTTTTGAGCTTTAAGGAGTTTAGGGCTTCTGGGTGCTTTTGAGGGGGGAGAGGGGAAGCTAGAAGTTTTGGAGGAGGTTGAGCTCCAGGGTTCTTAGCGGCTGGTGGGGCTCAAGGCTTGACAACCGCCTGGAAGCAAGCCTCTGGCTTGTGTTTGTTCTATGACCCGGAAGCCATTCAACCTTATAGCTTGCTTAAGTCCTGTACAGCGTCAAACTATAGTTGGAGTACCCCCAAACCCTAAACCCTAAACCCTAAACCCCAAACCCTAAACCCTAAACCCTAAACCCTAAACCCTAAACCCTAAACCCTAAACCCTAAACCCTAAACCCTAAACCCTAAACCCTAAACCCAACCTCAGCGGATTTGCCAGGCCGAGGCTGCTGCCATTCGCAGCTCGTCGGTGCGTGCAGCTGCGCGGCTAAACTTCGTTTTGAGGGCTTAGGGTTTAGGGTTTAGGGTTTAGGGTTTAGGGTTTAGGGTTTAGGGTTTGGGTGTTCCCCCTTTTTACTAACAGTCCTTCATAGGGATCATAATAGGGGGTACTATAGTCCCTATTAAGGAGCTGTTAGTATAAGGGGGAGCATCCCAGCTTATAGGGCTCATGTTTATTTGGGGGGCCTCCCCCTTATACAAACAGTCCTTAATAATTAGGAATTATGGTATTATGGTTCCTTATGAAGGACTGTTAATATAAGTGTTAGTATAAGGGTGAATATCCCAAGCTTAGGGTTCTGCGAGAGGGGTTGGCTTTTGGTATAGGTTGCTATTACTCTATCTACAGTTTAGGTGTCTTCGGCTCTCCCGTTGCGGGTTTCAGGATACAGGGTAGAGTGCTGGGACAATTCCCAAACCGCCCCGAAATACAAATAACTTAAAAGCCTTTTGTCAGGAGGCCAACAATTATGGGTTGAGGGCTTAGGGTTCATGATTTTTGCTACCTTTGGGATCCAGGTTGAAGGCGGGGTGAGGGTCTTCAAAATCCTCGAAGAGTACGCCTCTTAGCATTTGGTAGAGACTCGAAATTGGTGGACCCTGAGCGGACCCGCCCTTCCACCCCTGTAAACCCTGCAAACCCCCAAGCCCGAAACCCTAACACTCTTAGCCTTGGCTTTAACAAGCCAACCACCCGGAAGAGTTGCGGTTTAGGGTTCCGGTTCAGGGTTTAAGATTTAGGGTTTAGTGTTTAGGCTTTAAGGTTCAGGGTTTCGGAACGTCATGCCATGTTTTGGGGCAGAACAATCCCTTTCCTTCCCCCTGGTTGTTTCATAACGAACTCGGAAATTGGAAGCCAGATCCCCGCCTGTAAAAAGTCACATCCTCATTTACGGGGACGATGTAGGGAACCGAATTCCTTAGTAAGAAACAGAATGTTTCGGAGGTGATCTACATGAGCTGACACTTGGCTCCACATGGACCAGTGCTGTCGGGTGCCCCCAACCCTCTGCACCCTCAACCTTAAACGGGCCATGCACAAGATCAAAAAGATGCTTAGCCCTAAACCAAAACCCCAAACCCTAAATCCCCCTAAAACCTCCAGAACCCCTAAAGCCCCCCAAAAGCCCCCCTAAAGCCCCCTAACCCTAAATCCCCCAAAAACCCCTGGAACTCCTAAGGCCCCCCAAAAGCCCCCCTAAGGCGCCTTAAAGGTTCTTTTTAATCTTAGACCGCAGTGTGGGTCTCGTGGAGGGAGCTGAGGGACCCCAACACTTGCGATGTGTTGAGAGGTATTTGGGGGTTTAGGGTTTAGGGTTTAGGGTTTAGGGTTTAGGGTTTAGGGTTTAGGGTTTAGGGTTTAGGGGGGTTTACGAAATTGGGGGACCCTAAAAGAGACCCCAAACAGCAGCATTCCCTTGTAAGAAGGAAATAAGGTACCCCAATTTCGAAAGCCACCATTTGGGTTCAAGGTGAGCTAGTTGGGTTCAGGGTTTAGGACGTAGGGTTTATGGTTTAGGGATACTTGCAGGTTCATGGGTATAGGCTCATCAAGAAGGCGGCCTATATTATGACATTATCCAAGGCATTTTATTCCTACTCATAGCTACACACGAAGCTTTGAGCAGGGTTCAGGGTGTAGGTTGTATAGGGTTTCATGCAGGTGCTACATGGAGGGGGAGAGGGAGAAAGGGAGAGAGAGAGAGAGAGCGCACTGCTTGTGTGTGTGTGTGTAAAGGAGGGGGGCTAAAACCAATCCGTTTATTGGGTTTAGGCTTCGGGTTTCAAACCCGTAAAAGAGGATATTGGAGTCTCTCTAAGGTGGTCATGACAGCTTCATGGCCGACGCCGACCGCCTCACTGGCAAGAATCCCCGGGCCGCTGTTAAATGCATTAACAGCGGGGGAGCCAGTTCGGGTTTAGGGTTTAGGTTTTAGCGTTTAGGGTTTAGGGAGGGGTTAGGCCCTAAACCCTAAACCCTAGACCCTAGACCCCAAACCCTAAGCCGGGCTCCCTCTGAGGCTGAGGCATGCTACCTCGCCCTAAACCCCAAGAACCTCACGGAGATGGCTAATGGCTCCCCATTGTTCACTTATAGGGTTTAGGGCCCAGTAACCCTTAGTTGTCCAGTATCCTAGGAAAGCTAAAGGTTAACCTTTGGGTGAAAAAGGCTAAAGGTCACCTACTCTACTGCTAAGAACCATAGTAGAACAACGGCATCCCTGTTTGGGTTGCCTACTTTTGAAAAAGACGCCGACCTAAAGGGCACTAAAGGGCAAAAGGGTACCACTGGGCAAATTCATTACTTGAAGACTCATGGGTAGGCAGTTGTTAAGTAAGTAGGGCTATAAGTACGTCAGGTTACCTGAAGAGTAAGCTTACTCATCAAGGTATCTACTAAGAACTACCCGCGAACCTGCGAGTTATGAACTTAACAAGGCATACTACCTCACCCTAAACCCAAAACCCTAGAAACTCCCTAAACCCTAAACCCTAAACCCTAAACCCTAGGGTTGGGAGCCCGCCCCGAAAGCCCGAAACAATTCTACCCCTTCGGCCTCACAATGCAACTTGGCTTGGTTGCCCGGATCCTACATCTATGCGGTCCATGACCCCTGAACCCTGATGCCACCGCAATCCCTGGGCCAAGGCTGATGACACCTGGGGTCCTCCATTTCAGCTCCAGTCCTTGCGTCCCGCGGGTGAGTTTATTGGTTCGGGTTTGGCATTCCGGAGGGGTTTGCGGTTTTGGGTTTAGGATTTGGGGTTTGGGGTTTAGGGTTTAGGGTTTAGGGTTTGTCGGGTTGTCTAGGACGGAATCCCTGTTTGAGGTTTACGCGGAGCAACCCCCGCTCCGAATGCGAAGATCCAACAGCCAAGACAGTTTCCTTGTTTAGGTGTTTACACGTTACGATAAGGCTTTAGGGTTTAGGGTTTAGGGTTTAGGGTTTAGGGTTTAGGGACACCCTAAGCCCTTTCCGCTCAACCCGACGAGCCCAAGAGCAAGACTGGTTCACGGCAAAGCAGATTCCTACGAAGTTAACTAGACGTTATTGGATGATGCAACTATAGATATGTATTTTTGAATTAAGTACACGTATATGCACATAGAAATAGATATATATACACACACACACACATATATATGTATATAGAGATAAAGATGTATGTAGTAACAATAACAATGATAGCTAGCACAATAGCAGCATAATCGCATAAAGTCTAATTTAACTTAGTAGGAATTAGATGCCTGTTCATAAATAGCTATTTGTATATGTATATATATATATATATGCACATATATATATATGGTCACCCCCCCCCAATGGACCCACCGCGGGCCTTGATCTTTGCAAAAGTACCGCAAATACCGATAAAACCTATGCTGTCTGGTGATTTTCCGGTGACCGGATTTTTGACTGTATTCCTTAATTCACCCTCTCACACACGCACGGAGGGTTTTTCTTTCTGTTGGCTTTTGTTTATAATTTAAGATCTAGGCATTTAAACCTAAGCCTGCAAAAAAAAAAACCTTAACCTTTAAACCCTGTAGGGTTAAGGTTTAAAGGTTAAGGGTTTAAGATTTAGGCATTTGAACCTATGCCGGTAATTAAAGCTAAGCCCTTAACCTTTAAATTCTATCGGGTTGAGATTTTTACAGGTTTAGGGTTTAAGATGTAGGCATTTAAACCTAAGCCTGCAACTAATTTTAAACCCTTAACCTTTAAACCCTGTAGGGTTAAAGTTTAGAGGCTTAGGGTTTAATATTTAGCCATTTAAACCTGTAGCCAAGCCCTTAACCTTTAAACCCTATAGGGTTAAGATTTTTAAAGGTTTAGGATATAAGATGTAGGCATTTAAACCTAATTAAGCCTGCAACTAATTTTAAACCCTTAACCTTTAAACCCTGTTGGGCTAAGGTTTTAAAGGTTTCGGGCTTAAGATTTAGGCATTTAAACCTATTCCGGCAATTTACGCTAAGCCTCTAACCTTTAAACCCTATAGGGTTAAGATATTTAAAGGTTTAGGGTTTAAGTTTAAGGTTTAGGTATTTAGACCTATGCCGGCAGTTCATATTGAACCCTTAACCTTAAACCCCATAGGGATGAGATTTAAAGGTTTAGGATTCTTTACTTAGACATTTAAATCCAAGCTGACGATTCAACCTAAACCCTTAACCTTTAAACCCTATAGGGTGAAGGTTTAAAGTTTTAGGGTTTAAGATTCAGACATTTAAACCTAAGACAGCGATTAACACTAAGCCCTTAACCTTTAAACCCTATAGGGTTAAGGTTTAAAGGTTTGGGGTTTAAGATTCAGGCATTTAAAGCTAAGTATGTAATCAATTTGTCACCCTTAACACCTCTAAACTCTGTAGTGTGAAGGTTTAAAGGCTTAGGGTTTAAAAAAAAACTAAGCCCCCTAAGCCCATAGAGTTTAAACCTTAAGGGTTTAAGGTTTACGCATCTATTCCTTAACCCTAAACCCTCTAGGGTCAGGACCCTAAAGCCCTCGGCAATCAAGCCTAAACCCTTGACCTTCAAACCCCATAGGATGAAGGTTTAAAGGTTGGGGTTTAAGACTTAGGCATTTAAACCTAGAGGGCATTTAAGCCTTAATCCTAAACCCTTTAGGGTCAGAACCTTAGCACCCTATAGGGGTCTAGCACGTTCAAAGGCTTGAACCCTACAGGCGCTGAAGGTATACATGTCCTATCGGTTTTTAAACCATTACACCCTGTAAGAAGGTTTAGGGTCTTTTCGGGGTCTATCTCTAAATTTCTCACGGGGTTAACCCTGCAGGGTTTAAAGTTAAAGGTTTAGGGTTAAAGGTTAAGGCAATACCTATAGGATTAGAACCTTATAACCCTGTAGTGCATGAGGCTTAAACCCCTAAAACTTAACCATCTTTTTCTCGAGAAAACCAAAAAAACCAAAAAAACCAAAAAAAACCAAAAAAACCATCTTTTCCAAAACTATGGGGCTGGGGCCTCCAAAAGATGGTTTTTTTGGTTTTCTCGAGAAAAAGATGGTTTTTTTGGTTCGAAACCATCTTTTTCTCGAGAAAAAGATGGTTTTTGAGCAGCCGCTCTTCGAAAAACCATCCTTTTCTCGAGAAAAAGATGGTTTTTAGAGATCTTACCCTGGAACAACCATCTTTTTCTCGAGAAAAAGATGGTTTCCGGAGGTCTTGTCCTGGTAAAACCATCTTTTTCTCGAGAAAAAGATGGTTTTTGGAGGTCTTCTCCTGGTAAAACCATCTTTTTCTCGAGAAAAAGATGGTTTTTCGAATGATGGTTGCTCAAAACAATCTTTTTCTCGAGAAAAAGATGGTTTCGAACCAAAAAACCATCTTTTTCTCGAGAAAACCAAAAAAACCAAAAAAACCATCTTTTCCAAAACTATGGGGCTGGGGCCTTCAAGAGATGGTTTTTTTGGTTTTCTCGAGAAAAAGATGGTTTTTTTGGTTCGAAACCATCTTTTTCTCGAGAAAAAGATGGTTGTTGAGCAGCCGCTCTTCGAAAAACCATCTTTTTCTCGAGAAAACGATGGTTTTTGGAGATCTTGTCCTGGAAAAACCATCTTTTTCTCGAGAAAAAGATGGTTTTTGGAGGTCTTGTCCTGGTAAAACCATCTTTTTCTCGAGAAAAAGATGGTTTTTGGAGGTCTTGTCCTGGTAAAACCATCTTTTTCTCGAGAAAAAGATGGTTTTTAGAAGAGCGGCTGCTCAAAAACCATCTTTTTCTCGAGAAAAAGATGGTTTCGAACCAAAAAACCATCTTTTTCTCGAGAAAACCAAAAAAACCATCTTTTGGAGGCCCCAGCCCCATAGTTTTGGAAAAGATGGTTTTTTTGGTTTTTTTGTTTTTTTGGTTTTTTGGATTTTTTTGGTTTGTTGGTTTTTGTTAGTTTCTTGTTTTGTTGTTTTTTGCCTTGATCTGGCTAGGACTCGGCTGCCATCCGCGGTGGGTCCATTGGGGGGGGGTGAGCATATATATATATATATATGATCCTTTATCCATGAGATGTCTTCAGATTGTTCTCTGCATTTTTCGTGGGGGACATGGGTGTCGGCCAACGCACAGAACTTTGAACTTAGCCCCTGAGGCTTATGGGGCACAGGGCTTTGGCAGGTTTGATGTTGTGTGGTGATTGGGGCTAACCTCAACCCTAAGCCCTCAAAGCCTGTGTACTGTAGGGGTCGGAATAACTACTAATAGCATTCCCTTCTGGTCCCTATGGTCCCTTACATAAATAATAGCTAAACCGAACCTGTAGGGTCCAACTTAGAATTCAGGGTTTGGGGGCTTGGACATGGATTTCGATGCCGACTGTTGAGTCCACATAGTGTCTGACGAGTTGTGCCTTGCTTGGGGTACCCTAACCCTAAATCCTGTAAACCCTGGTGCTTGGGATTCAAGGTGCTATCCTGGTATTCCTATGTTCCTGGGGAAGCAAACCCTAAACCCTAAACCCTAAACCGTAAACCCTAAGCTAGCCGAAGGCTGCTACGACATGTTTCCCTTCACGCCACACATCGAAACCCTTGGCGTCTTCGTGCGCGAGAGAGTCGGCGATGGACGGCGCCCCGAGTCCATCGACACTTGACCCCTCTGCTTGGGATTCAGGGTTTAGGTTTAAGGTTTCGGATTTAGAGTTTAGGATTGTGACAGCAAGGGCGAAGCCCTATTCTAAATATTATTGAGTCGAAACTGTATGTCTTCACGTTTCCTTTGCACCATGGCCCATGCCACCCCCGGAAACAGAGCTTTGTTTCCGAGAGCGCCCGCCCCAAACCCAAAACCCTAAACTTTACACAGAAGGGCCTGCCATGGGGCCAGCGTTTGGACATTCCGCATTTCTGTGTCAACATATTTCGCTTGGGTCTGTGTTTGGGGTCTCGTAGTTCTCATGGCAGGCCCTTCTACATAGCATCATGTTGCTAGGGCAGGGAGCGGTACATTCTGCACTAAACCTAAACCCTAAACCCTAAACCCTTTTTTAAAACCCCAAATCCTGAACCCTGAGCTGCACACCTCAGACCCTGAGCCCCAAGAGCCAATGAACGTGATTCCACCAGAGGCCATAATTCCGAGCGCTCCATGTCGATTCAAGCACTGGCTTTGCGATTGACCTAGTAAGGACTTCGAGTTGGCGATTTAGGGGTATTGGGGTGTTGGGCTCTGGGCCTGAGTGCAGCGCCTTCTGCAAGTGCTGTGGGACCGAATTGCTCTGCAATCTCCCGGAGGGAGCTAAATACAAGGTCCATCGCGCAAGTTCTGCCATCCTGGCTCAAGCTGTCAAGCGCTAGCTTCGCAGCGATCTTGACTGGTTTTGAGATGCCAAGCGTTAGCTTAGCGCTCGCTCGGTTTCTGATGCAGCATTGGCCCGGTGCTTCATGGCAGAAGGCAGAAACGGTGCTTGGAGAAGTACAGCATTGGGTGTTCGGCGGCAAAGTGCAGGGCCGCCAAGGCCAGGAAGCGCAGATTGCTTAAGAGTGTTTCAGGTTAGTGCGCGCTGGGTTTTCGCAGGGTGGCTATGTCGCTGAACTGGCCCTCTCCCTCAGGCGTCAGCAGATCGGACAGGGGAGTTTGGCAGCATTGGCAACTTGACCTGCCCTGCAGGCGCTTGCTGCAGCATGTTCGCGCAAGAACCGCGGTGCCTTCTCCAAAGTACCAGAGCCGCATTCCCTGCCGGTATCCAACCACTCCGCCCAGAAGCTTACGAGTACTCGTAAGCTTCTGAGCGGAGTGGTTGGATACCGGCAGGTGGATGCGGCCCTAGGTACCTTGGAGAAGCGCCGCGGTTCTTGTTGGAGAAATATGCGAACATGCTGCAGCAGGAGGGAAGTGTTATCTGAGAGCTTGCCAGCCCAGCATCCATGCCTCCAGACACGTTACATCAGGTGATGAGATCCGCAGCTGGAAGGGCGTTAACTTCTTACAACTGTCGAAATGGATGGCAGCGTGTGTTGGTTGATCAAGACGATTGTGCAAGATCCTGCTGAAGCCCTTGAGAGGAGCACACAGAAGCCCAAAGGCAATGGTGATGTGTAGAATCAGCAAGGGCGTAGAAAGGTGGCCTGAATTGAAACGCCTTCCATTGAAGCGGGGGTATGCGCCTGCATGGCATGCATGGCAGGCTGGAGCAGCAGGCAGTACGATTGCCAACCCACGTGCACGAGGTGCTCTTTGCTCTGGAGGTCACCTTGGATTGGTCATCCGAAGCACCACGCATCCAGAAACCCTACATGTGGGGGGAAGAAATCCCTCGTGCAGGTGGTAGTCGGTGTGTCTTTTATTGGGGGGAGGGCCCTAAACCCTAAACCCTCAGCCCTGAACCCTAAACGCTATATAAACCCTAAAGGGGAGGGGGGAGGGGGCTCTTCCTGAACTCCCAGGAGCCGGACAGGTTGCAAGTGTCGCCCGAGGACAGGAGCAAAGAGTTGTTAAACAAATCCGACATTCTGCTCAAGCCCCTAAACCCTATAACCCTAAACCCGAAATCCTAAACCCTAAGCCCTCAAGGGGGTGTGCTCTTTCAAGGCTCGACTGGAAGGTCTTCATGGGAAGCTGGGAATAGGGCTATTTATGTGCCTTATATTTTTAACATATGAGAATGCATTAGAATATATTTTGAACAAAATATGTATCATATTCTATTCGATTATATTTTGCTAATAGTGTAGAATATATATATATATATATATGTATGTTTATTTAGTTCTGTATTATCTGCCCATGAACCTTCAAGTACGAAATCTCCCCAGGAGAAGCTGCAGTGCCAATTCTTCATCGGCATCGAGCAGGATGCGGTTTCCAGTGCCGTGTGGGGATGTTAGGGTGTAGAGTTTAGGGTTTGGGGTTTGGGGTTTAGGGTTTAGGGTTTAGGGTTTAGCGTTATTGAGTTATAGGGTATAGGGTTCAGGGTTTAGGGTTTAGGTCTTAGGGACTTAGGTGTTGCAGCGGTGACAAGTTGACAAGCAGCTGACTGTTCGTTTGTTTTTTTTTCGGGAGGGGGGGGGGTGTTTCGGATCCCTTAGAAACCCCTTTACACAAACATCAAAACTGGGTAGAGTGACGGCTCAGCATGCCTCAGAACTGGCAGGGTGCCCTCCAACCAATACAGTTGCTAAGTCATTACGAATCGGGGTCAGAGACATGGGTGTTTGGGTCAGGGCAATAGTCCCTAACAACGCCGACATGTGTATAACAAGAACTGCACACCGTGCCCATTCGGATTCAGTTGGCCCCGACTAAGCACCCTTAAAGTTCATAGGGATCTTTCAAACGGCTTGAACATCTGTTCTTTAGTTGAGGGGTATTGGGCCCTGAACCCTGAACCCTAAACTTAAGGCTTAGGCCCCCCCCCCCAACCTTCCGCAGCATTTGCGCCATATTGCAGCACACCCTAAACCCTAAACCATGTGCCTAACGCGAACTCCGGAGGACGCCGAGTTTAATGTGCGCCAGCGCATTTTCGGAGAGCGTGGTCATCACATGCCGCTTGGATGAAGCCCTCGTGTGGCCTCCTTTCACTTTTTGCTTGTTTTAGGGTTTAGGGTTTAGGTTTAGGATTTAGGGTTTAGGGTTTAGGTTTAGGGTTTAGGGCCCCGCCTTGAAAGGGAGTTGTCGTGCAAAAAAGAATACTTTGAAGCCTCATGTGTAGGTAGAAGTAAACCTTATCCCTCAACCTTCAACCCTCAACCCTCAACCCTCAACCCTCAACCCTCAACCCTCAACCCTAAACCCTAAACCCTAAACCCTAAACCCTAAACCTAGCCGCCCCGTAAACCAACAAGCACAAGCAGGAAGGTCATCGCCAAGCAGACGGGGGCCAAGCTGCGACTCCGTGGGCGCGGCTCTGGCTTCAAGGCAGGGGCTTTTGGGGCTGGAGGGTTTGGGGTTTAGGGTTTAGGGTTTAGGGTTAGTTTTGTTTTTTGTGTTTTTATTGCGGGGCAGGGGGGGTGTTTGGGGCTGGGTTTGAGGGTTTGGGGTTTACGGTGTGGGTTAGGTGAGGGTCGAGTGGCCCCTAAACCCTTTTGAACCCACAAACGTATGAATGCTATCGTGGCCAGGAGGGGCCCGAGCGCCGGGTTTCTTCCGACCCGCTGATGCTGTGCGTGAGCAGCACTGAAGATGCAGGCAAGTTGGGGGTTTAGGGTTCAGGGTTTAGGGCTTGAGGGTTTGAGGGGGTGTAGGGTTTAGGGTTTCAGGGGTTTAGGGCCTGAGGGTTTTAAGGGTTTGGGGGTTAAGGGTTCAGGGGTTTTAAGGCTTGAAGGTGTAGGATTCTGGGGTTGGGGTTGGGGCCCTAACCCCAAAGCCTAGGTTTCCAACTTCTGTAGGGCAGGCTTGGGTCCAATAGAAAGGCTCTGCGAAAGGATCTGTGCAGAGAGTCCGGGAGAAGATCCGACAACTCGGAGCTCTTCAGGTTACGATCCTAAACCCGAACCCTAAACCCGAAACCCTAAGCCCTAAACCCTAAACCCTAGAACGCATGTACGGTCGGAACCCCAGACTCCTAGACACTGGGCCACTCAGACGCACCCACGCATTCATTTTAGCGGGGTTTCGGGTTTCGGGTTTCGGGTTTAGGGTTTAGGGTTTAGGGTTTAGGGCATCAATCCCCGGGCTTCCAGCCTTGTCACTGCAGCGCGGAACCCTGAGTCCTATTCATGGTCCATCCTGTTGACAGTCCCTCAGCTCTGCCCCTTTACAAGGGTTTAGGGTTTAGTGTTTAGGGTTTAGGGTTTAGGGTTCAGGGTTCAGGGTTCAGGGTTTGGGGTTTAGGGTTTAGTGTGTTTCTCTCTGTCCACTCTTCAGGACACCAAGAGGCGGAAACTCAGCTGCACTGTTTTAGGGTCTAGGGTTTGCCAGCAGCAGCACCAGCACCAGCAGAGCGACTGGGAGCTCCCGGGTTATCAACCCTGGGCCCTAGAGGTGTGCTGAACCCTCCTTTCTATCTGTCCACCGTTCGGTCTATATGTACGATGATTGTGTGTAGTTTTTGTTGTTTATTGCCGGGGATAGGTTTTGCTTCTGGGGCCCAAAACTTGTGGGAACCCTAAACCCTGAACCCTAAGCCCTAAACCCTAAACCCTAGACCTAGTTGAAGGTGAACATTTTGGAGGTTCCGCTGTCACCTTGAGGTGAGACTCGTTGAGGAGCTGCTGACTGATGTTCACAACCAGCATCCTGAAATGCACGTTTAGGGTTTAGGGTGCTCAGACTGTGGCCTGTTCAACTAGAATGGCTCCAAGTGAGCAGTGTTTTTGTAACTTGTGTTGGTAGTTGTCTTGGATTTTGTGCATCAAAGCTGGGCTGCTGCAACTACTCCTGCCTGCTTCGGCATGCCTTCGATTAAAAGGGTTTTTAGTGTTGGGATCTTGTCTCAAAGGGTCAAAGAGGTTTGGGGTGGAGCTTGCGCTTTGATATGTGAAAGGTCAGCAAGTCAGTGCCTCATCATCTGCTCAGGTTCAGTCGAGTCTTAGTTGATTCCACTGCCCATGGCGCGTCCTACGGGCGTTGTTCTCATTAGGGTCCCTTCTTGTGGGCTGTATGTTGGGAGCCCCAGAGTATAGGAAGTAGTACCAATCAAGGGATGGGGACCCAACCCCCCATATGTTGGGTTGTTCCCTGCTATAATCCCTATTAAGGAGCTGTTCGTATAAGGGGCAACATCCCACCCTTGAACGATCTCAGAGCTCACGTCCCTGCACTACCGCCGTAGCGGAGAGGATGCAGTGATGCCGTTGGAACGCTTTGTTTCATTAAGTTCTGCCTCTGTTCCATTGCTGACACTGATGAGTCGGTTCCTGTGCAGCGTGCACACAAGTGTCCACCTTTGCACACGAATTCTATGATGTCTCTCCGGTTCCTGTGGCTCTTTTGGATAGAAAGGGCCCTGTTATAGCTTTGTACGAGCATCATGCCTCTGTGGTGTTCAGATACAATCCTACGCCCCAAACATGAAACAAATGCCTACACCCAAAACCCTTGTATCCCAAACCCTAAAAAAATCACCAACATCTTCGGCCTTTGGCTTTTGTGTTCTCAGACTCGGACCCAGCATGCAGGGCTTAAGCACGGGCCGCGCTGAAAGCTCACAGCCTTTAAGCTTTCTCACCCCCCGAAGACCACTTTTCAACCGTAGCAATGATGAAAGTAACAAAAATCGCCCTGAACCCTACTCCCTAAAACCCCTAAGCCCTAAACCCTGAGCCCCACCTCCACCCTGCATCCGCTCTGCACTCCTTCGTTGTGCCCCCGAGGTATCGTGAGTTCTGTCACTCCACCGGCCGCAGAGCTCCCAATCTAGAGGCCCCCAGCGCAGCAATGTTGGGCCCACTGACCACCCCACCTCACGGTTTAGGGTTTAGGGTTTAGGGTTTCGGGTGTAGGGTTTAGGGCCTCCCCCAGACAGGAGGCTTGTAGGGTTTAGGGCTTAGTAATCGTAATAGGTTTAGGGGGTTGAATCCTAAACCTTAAACCCTCAACTGCGGCCCCGGCAGACAAAGCCAAGGGTTTGAGATGGGCGCCGCGCCTAGAGCTTGACATCCTGACCCCCACCCTAAACCCCAAACCCCAGACCCCAAGCCCCAAACCCTAGACCCTAAACCCTCAAGACAAAATAAATTGAAATTGTATGTGGTCTCATTCTGAAGTTTCAAGTTATTTGTCTGAACAGCTGACAAGCTGAGTTTAAGTAAATTAATCCAAAACACTTCTGAGGCCAAATGCTCAATTTACTATTTGTCTGAACAGCTGACAAGCTGAGTTTAAGTAAATTAATCCAAAACACTTCTGAGGCCAAATGCTCTATTTACTTAAACCTCTCCCCTCCCCCCCTCCACATCCACCTCTCATCCCCTCCTCTCATCCCGTCCTCTCATCCCCTCCTCATCCCCCCCCCCCCCCCCCCCCAAGATCTCCTGCCAGAGCTATTTCAACAGATCTCCCTCCAGATCTCACCCCAGATCTCCCCCCAGCCCACATCTCCCAATCCCCCTCCCAGATCTCCCCCCACATCCACCACATCTCCCCCCAAGATCTCCCCCACATCTCTTCCCAAATCTCCCAGATCTCCCCCCAGATCTCCGCCCAGATCCCCCCCCACCCAGATCTCACCCAAGATCTCCCGCCAACTCTCCCTGGTCCGCGAGAAGCTCCAAACAGGTTCAGAAATGGTCCAAAAACCTCATGTTTGGTCCGGGAGAAGCCCCAACAAGCTCAGAAATGGTCCGGGAGAAGGCCAAAGAGGCTCAGAAATGGTCCGGGAAATAGTCCGGGAAGGCTTAGAAATGGTCCATCCCCCTCCCCCCACCGCCTCCCGACTCTCCCCCCATCCTCTCCCCCGCCCTTCCCCCCCCCCTCCTCCTCCCCCCCTCCCCACTCCCTTCAAAAATGAAAACCTAGTTCCAAAAACTCAAACGGTTCGTTCAGAACTTTCGTTCAAAACTTATTGGGACCCAAACCCTATACAATTTCTTGAGTTGGGCCCGTAACGATTTTATAGGATCTCATTTTATTTGTGATCGTGATACGAGCCTCCAAATTATTTTCTAATTCGGGGTGGTGGTGGGATTTGAATATATGGAAGCGAATTTATGGATTCGTATTGATATGTTGGGGTCTTCTGAGATCTTGGATATTGAAATATAAGAAATTTATCAAAGTATTTTCTTTTGGATATTGCCGAACATAAATCTCTATTCGTCATTGGGATTCTATAGAAACCGTTTCTCATATGCAATTCTCTCTTTGAGATTCGATTAGAATAATTATATATTCATATTTTTTCGGTCAAATCGAAATCTCCCCGTAGATTCCCCCGACTTATTTGAAATCACGCGACTACGAGACGAAATGATAATCAAAATGAAATAAAACCCTAACCCCTAAACCCTAAACCCAAACAATTGACCTTGTCCGGGGCTCAACAATAAGGTCTGGGCAGACCTCTGCACAGTTTTTGTTGAACGGCGGGCCCTTTCTGGGCACCCAAACTCTGGGATTCCTTTTTCCTAGGAAATATCGTACTTCTACATACATAATATATATATATATATACATATATATATATATACATATGTATGTGTGTATGTCCGTATGTATGTGTGTATGTGTGTGTGTGTGTATCTGTATACACATTTAGCGGCGTGTGTATGCAATATATATATATATGTATATATATATATATATATATATATATATATATTTATATTTATATTTATATTTATATTTATTTATATTTATATTTATGTTTTTATTTGTATTTATGTTTTTATTTGTATTTATATTTATTGATTTAATTATTATTACTTGGTTTATTTTAAGTCCTATGGAGACGACCCTAAATCTTAACCCCCGATACCCTAAACTCCAACGGTTTGGGGTTTAGAGTACTCCCTGCACAGGTGGTCGTCAATCATGGCCCCCGTCCCGGCAGCAGGTGCGCCTGAAATCTCGGCTTCCGAGGGCCTAACCAAAACATGCAATATCCCTTAAAAAGGCACTTAGGGGGGGGTTGGAAGTACCCTAATCACCCTAAACCCTAAACCCTAAACCACGTGGATTTCAAGTTTCTTTGATTGGGTGCGGTTCAGCGGGCCAAGCGCTTTCCCAACCTGGGTCCGGAGACCGTTTCCGGTTTGTGTGTATCCCTAGAGGGTCACCCTAAACCTTAAACCCTAAACCCTAAACCCTAAGTTGATTTCCTCGACTGACCCGAAAAAAGCACCTGGGGTCTAGCGTACTGCAACCGTAGTTAGTGTAACTACTGCTTGGAATACGAAGCAAAAGCAGGACACTATTGCCCATTTACATATATGGGTACTGGTAAAAACGAATCATACTGATAATGGCAAAGAATACCAGAGCAAGCAGAACAAAGACAATTTACGTAATAGCAATAGGAACCACGAGAAACGAGAATATCCCAAAACCCTAAACCTTGAACCAGAATCATGAGTAGAATTATCATAGCCCTAAACCCTAAACCCTAAACAGAGAACCAGGTGCGGTCGTTCTGGCCTGGCAGACACTAAGCGTATCAAGGCCGCCCTCTGGTGTCATACGGGACCTGATATACAGACTTAGAGTTTAGGGTTTAGGGTTTAGGGTTTAGGATGACCGGAAAACCCCAGACCCGTTTAGGCGAGGAAAGCCAACAAAGCCCTTGAGCTGTGCATGTGCCAGGTAGCCACCTCCGCTGGTTTTCCTGCAGAGGCAGCGGTTGGTTTTTGAGGACCCTGGTTTGGGGTTTGGGGTTTGGGGTTTAGGGTTTAGGGTTTAGGGTTTAGGGTGGTTTTAAGTTTTGGAAAGGGAGCTCCTTTTATCTTGTCGGCATGCGTCTGGCTTCGTGTTGTTATGGGTAATGGGGGGCGGGGCTTAGGGTATGCTTCTGATGCACCAATGTAGTGGCCTAAGTTTGGGGAGTAGGGTTGAGGGCTTAGGTGGCGGGATAGGGGCTTGCAACGGCCTGGAGCGGGGGGCGGGGGGCAGGCAGAGGGTTTACGGTAAGGGTTGATTGAGGGTTTAGGGTTTAGGGTTTAGGGGAGGCGGGGCAGGGGGGAGGGGGGGGGGGAAGGCGGAGGGCAAGGGAGAGGAGGCCCGGGGAGCATCTGTTTTATGCTGCCCAGACATCTACGTAAAACCTAAAGCCCCAGCCCCCGAATTCCTGAAATTCTCGCTACCTGAACATCTTTAGTTGACGCTGAAAGGCGGCAACCAGCCACTAGTGTAAAGAAATATTCCGGCTGCAGTTTTTGAGGATCCTGGTTTTTCATGGTTTTGGATATGGAGCTCATTGTTCCTGTCAACATGCATCTGGCCATTCTTCGTGTTGTCATGGGTACTTGGGGGCAGGATTTAGGGTTCTGATGTTAATTACCCCGTTCCTTTGGGGTACTGGGTTCTTGGGTACTGTTTGTGGGAGTTATATGAGGGGCCGGTGCTTCGGGCGCAGGGCCCACAATGGTTCACAGGGTTTCCTGCCCTGCTCGCGGAACGAACTGCATGATTAACTAAGGTGTAAGTGTGGGGGAAAGGTGGCACTGAAAACTTCCGAAACCCGAAATCTTCTGAGAGCTCTGTGGTGAAGCCCTTCAGGCTTTTAGCATCCAGGAGTAACCTAGGAACAAGAAGGGCGCCCCTTTTGGTTTAAGGGGAACTATCAGAAAACCTAAACCTTCACAAAAGGGGGCAATACGGGCCTTCTCTCTGAAACAACCTTTCGGAAGCAGGGTTTAGTTAGTGTGTATGCAGACGTCCGTATAAATCTTGGTAAGCGTACCTTTGGGATGCTCGTACTACAAAACCCTAAGGAAATTGGGCAAGCACCCTACATAATACCGTCAAGGGCTTCAATCTGGTACGTATTTCCCTTGTCAGAACTATGGTAAGATTTCGGGGTGTTGATCTGAAATCCACAAGGGCTCCTCAGTTCGATCCCCTATGTGTACGTGTATATGTACATGTGTATATGCATGTATTTGTTTATCCCTATAAACACACCCGTAACAGCGGCTAATCGTACATCGGCCATGTGGTCAACTGTACTTGTGCAGGCTTTGGTGCACCAGGACCGGGCCTGTTGTAGTAATTTGACAGGTTCCCGGCGAAGGAGCGTACGAGGCATTGACTTGATAGCCCAGGACACAACGTGGGCCCTTCTTCCTAGTTGGGGTTAGGAAAGGGTACCCTTATTCTCAGGTTGCTCTTGGGCCTGGCACAGGGATTAGGGTTTTTGCCTTGAAATAGAGACCTGAACATAAAAACACATGCCAGGGCTGCTTTCGATGGACTGCCACTACACCAGGCATTGGCACACGGCGTTCATCCACACGGAGCTCTGCAAGCACGCAGCAGGAACCAGGCCACCGCACTCCCCCTAAGTCTTGAACGTTTTTTAGGGGTTTTGGGGTCTGGGTAAAGCCGAAGCCCTAAACTCAGAAGGTCGACAGAATGATCATCATTTGCATTGTGGTTCTTAGTCTTCAATTAGTGGAGGACACAGAGGGCGCTGGAGGATTTCGAGTTTCAGGCTTGAGGCTTTGGACACCAACCGTGAGGGTCATATGGGGGTTTACGACAATAGGGGTACCTTATTTTGGGTCCTTACTATCTGGGGATCCGACTATTTGGGGGATTGATTTTAGGGGTCCCTTACATCGTAAACCGAACTGTTACATTGGGGTTCTCACATCCGTCGTGGGGTCCTGCGAGAAGACACGGACACAGCCTCAGATTTTAGAGTACCCCGAAAGGGGCCACTCTTCTCGAGAACTGCCCAAAAGAATAGCCAATGTTTGCACAGTTCTGATACCCTCAAATTTATGCAGTCTGCTAGACCATGCTTACATCCACGAAGGAGGTAGCCAAGCATCGAAGAAAGAGAGAGCGAGAGAAAAGATTTAAAAATGGAATTATAGTAAGTAACTTGCCCCCAGGCCCCAAGTAAGGAAATAAAAACAAATGAAGTGAACAAAAGACTCTTCTCTGCACCTCCTGAATACCTACAAGCTGTTTTCTTAGGAAGGTAAATTGCCCAATCTTTCGGATGCATCAACACCCTTTTGTAAGGTCATGTAGATGACTGTCGGAGAACCCTCTCTTAGCCCTGGATCCTAGGGTTTAAAGTTTAGGGTTTAGGGTTTAGGGTTTAGGGTTTACCGACCCCCCAAACCCAGCAAGTTCCACCCTCCACCAGATGCAGCATGGTCGTCTCTCTGAACGGAAGCTTGCGTGTACGGCTTGGACACGACCGGCACCTTAAGCATTGCCATGGAGGGCGCAGTCGGGAGACCGCGAAGAAGTGAGGGGTTTAGGACCAGAGCTCTTGGAGATTTCAACCTTAAACCTAAACCTTAAACCCTAAGAGGCCTAGATCTGAAGGGGGCCCTTATTGCGGAATGTCTTCCAACCATCCCGGGCCATAGGAGTTCGCAGCATGTGGGACCTCGGGTCGAAAGTTTACGTACAAAGATTTGCACCGCCCGTCTGCCACGATGGGCCCCCGCCAGAGCAGAAAGCCGCGTTGCCTTTCCAGCTAGGGTTTATTTAGGGTTTAGGGTTTAGGGTTTAGGGTTCAGGGTACTCCCCACTACTCCCTAGGGCCCCCTAAGGCTAGGTTTGAGGAGTCTGGAGGGCGAGGTCAGTTTTTAAGCTTTGAGTTTTTTGACATGGTTGTTTTCGTGTTCGGGGTACCTACACGGCGTGGCAGCAGACCTGCCACGGATGGATTTTTCTTAAAAAATCAGTCGAGATATTTTACGAATATTTTGCATGAAACTATCCAATTCTTCTGATTGTAAATAAATTGTGATTTTGAGGAAAAATTATGGATGAGGCTCTTAATAATGGTCTCAAAAAATTTGTATTGCTAGAATGTGATCGTTGTTGGATTCTTAAATATTATTTTGCATTCTTTTGTTCTCCTTTTCATTTTTGAAAATCGAAGGCTTATTATTCGGATAAATCTTAAATTAATAATTTTGATTTCGTTCTATTATATGTATTTTTATTATTTAGATTTATGGATTTAGAATTTGGGATATGGGATAAGGATTGGGAGATGAGGATTCGATGGAATTTATTCATTTCAAATTTGTAATTGGGCACTTTCGGTTTGATATTAGAATTATTCTTTAGTTTTTTATTGACTTGAGACATGATCTTTTATATTCTACGAATTGATTTCTTTGAAGGATTTGTGTGGGTTATTCTTTAATTTCTGATTATTTGATTGGGGGTAATCTATAAATCTTTGTCTTCTTTTAATGGTGAATATTTCATATTTCTTTTTTTAGTATCTGCGAAAGTGTGGTATAAGGCGTTACGAAAGGGATAAATTGATTGATAGAATTTTTCATCTTCAATGCTTAAGTGAGTACGTTTAGGGGTTTCTGTAAATTGTATTCGTGGGATAAATTTCA